ATGTGTCATGTTGCAGGTTAGCTACTTTTGAACGCTTTGTTGCGGATGTCCTGACATCAGAAACATGATCCATGGTGTCATCTGAAAGCAGTTGTTTATGTTTTCGTTCAGCCGGGTTTGTACAGGTAACTCCAAGATTTCCAACCGGATTAGTCTTTTTATGTTTGGAACCATCTTTCGCATGCTTCCTTTTCTTTTTGATTGATTCATTAGAATCAGATGGAGGTGCTGTTCCTTCAGCAGGAAGACAGCTGTTTGGGTCATCAGAATTTAGTAGTGCATGCGAAGTTTCGTGAGCTTTCTTGTGTTTCTTGGTCTTGATGCGCGCAGACTCCTTACCTTCGGCTTCACCTTTAGCATGCTTCTTGGACTTTCGCGCCTGTTTCGTTGTTTGTTCGGCGGTGTCAACGTTTTGTCCGCGATATCCTTTAGATACATCACCATCACCAACTGGTACTGAACTTTCAGACATTCAATCACCTTCCCTGTAAAGGAAAACAATTCAATTTCTGGTAGCTTTGGGACAGGAAAAGGGAATTCTCCAATAGACACTAGGGCAAAATTACCAGCAAAAAAAATATAAAAAATCGTCTATCTACAACATCCTTTTGGTGCCTAGCTGCCACCCGAAGGAAGCATGAGGGCTGGAATACTGCCAGGTTACCCAAGCCTAGACAGAAGTCGGGATGCAAAGGTTGGGTTAGAACCACGGACCTTCCGGTCAATAAACTCGCGTTCTCACCACTGGGCCATATTACTATATCCACCTCCTGAACCGGAACCATAATATGTAAATAAGGAAGTTTATTAAAGTGGTGTTCTTATGACTGTCTGACCTCTGATAAAGACCGCGCCTGTATTTTTCACACACAACTAACGTCTACAGGACCGCATGATGAATATGGAGGTTTGGACTGATACGCTACCAGAGCTGTTAAACGCAATATCTGAGCTTAACAAAGGAAGTCAGCGAACATATGCAAATTACCGTTGATGAACTACGTGAGACCCAGATGGCTCCATCTTGCTTAGTGAACCTGCTGAGTGTACCCGAATGTAGGTGTTGTCAAGGTCAACCGGCTACCTGAAGGTATAGGTCTCCGACGGAGACCAAGAATATATGGGTTTATTAACTACTACGCTAAAGCGATGCTTTTCCTATGATTTGTCAAATAACACGAAAAAAAATCGTCAGCCAGTTGAAAGCAATGTTAGCACGATTACACTGCTTAAAGTATGGACGTTTAACAAAGCGAATGGTTAAATCGGAGACAAAAATACGCCATACGATACCTACGCCACCATCCACTCGGACAACCTGATAGGGACTCACAAGAAAGTTAGTGACATCGGTTGGCGGTCTTGCCTTGCAACATGCACAGCCGAACGCAGGATGGATTACATTAGCCTCTCCAGCGAGGCGGACAGAGACGACAGCACCCAAACGTTTAGTAATATCTTTTGCTCACCAATGCGAATTTGCACCCGCTCAGCTTTCGGTTTGCACCAGCCTAGTGAAATTAAGTTTTCAAACCATAGACTGTTTATAAATGCAAGTCGGTTCCGGTTGCTACATCATTTTGACACCAAAAGTGCAAAATGAAAATGATTATCTGAGATCCATCAAATGGGGGGGGGGAATGGTGGAACTGCTAGGGGAGCAGAAGCTGAGCATAAGCGAGTGGTCGCAGCAGCATAACTGGCTAAGAGATTTCGCCAGATGGCCCAAGTGGTTAGAGCGCGAATTTACTGACCGGAAGGTCCGCGGTTCGAATCCGACCTCCGCCACTCGACTTCCCCTGTCTAGGCTTGGGCAACCTGGCAGTATCTCAGCCCTCGTGCTTCCTTCGGGTGGAATGGCAGCTAGGCTCCGGAAGGGTGCTACAGCTGAACGCAGAGACAGACCTCTCGTGTATGAGCCCTGTAGACGGCATTAGGGAACAAACCTAACACCGGTTGTTGGGCCCCTCAGGCTTCACCAGCAGATCATGCCTCGTCCATTGTTCTAGTTGAAGCAGGCTAAAGAACGCATGGTACGATGGCACAATTTATCACCTGATATGAGGAGATCACCGTCAAGTGAGCGTGGCTAGTTCAACCGTATCACACCACGTTGGAGAGAAGTCGATTCATTACGAAAAACCATTCATCGCATTTCGTCGACGTTAATTCATCGTTCACAGAATACGTATGTAATGCTTCTGAGGAAGTCGGTGTCTTTTTATCTCCCGTGTACACAAGCCAGGTTTCGCACCCACAAATGAGTAGTAAGCGCAACACGATGTTGTAGACTTTGTACTCTAGCGACAAAAGGTGAGCCAAAGGTGTGCGTTAAAAGAGCGGGTTCCAAAATCATAACATCCCATTCTTCATANCAAAGGTGTGCGTTAAAAGAGCGGTTTCCAAAATCATAACATCCGATTCCTCATAAGTACTGCTGGTCAAGGAAATACAACCATTCAGCTATCCCCTCAGTCAGGTTTTTTAGCTCACAAAACCATGTGTCGAGGTGCAGCGGTTCCAAATGCTACAGCTTGGTTCATCGAAGATAAGGGAGAGCCAACCGTTGGAAGCGATGGCGACAGTCTCGATCTATTCGCCCAACGAGGCAGGAAGTGAGAGCTACGTAGCAGAAGCGAGAGCTTTGCTGCAAGACCGTCGTTATCTGCGTGACACAACCACATCTGCCAAGGTCACTAGCCATTGTTTTGTCTCATCCAGCGGTCCCTAGGCGGGGGAGCGGCAGTTATCAAAATGACCGTGTTGACTATTAGGGACTTCTATGCTTCGTCGCCAAGTCATGGACTGACCACATTTAATCATCTTCACCTGACACTGCCCAGATAGATGAACTTATCGACTACTTCTAGCGCGAAACACCATTCGGCCATTTAATGTTACACCGACTCAATCTTGGATTATCACGCTGCACTTTGAAGGTTTACACAAATATTTTGGGAAGTGTATTAATACTCCTTCGAGCGGAAGCTGATCCAACTTACCATCATCATCGACAGCATGACATCAGCGTTCAACACCGATACTTCACTGCTGTATAACCATGATTTATTTGAAAGCCTTATTGTAAAGAAAAGCATAAAGATGGACGGGGAAGAGACTTAGTGCTAACTTACTACAAACATTTCGAGGTGCCTACACCTCCAAA